CGTTATTTCTAAATCTGCACACGTTTTTATTTTAGCTTGTAATGGATAAAGTTTTGCCAGAGAGATTGCAGTTGCCGTGCTTGTTGTTCGAAATCCTCTTATGATTTTAATGGCGAAATTGCGTTGGAGAGAAAGTAACCGTTTTTCTATATACTTATATTTTAGAGCAGAACTCCAAATACTTGATGCATAGCAAACAATAGGTTCTATTACTGCAAGATATATGGTATGCACATTTTCTGAATTTACTCCCCAAGTAGGTTTTATATATTTGGCTAATTTTTGAAATAGGTTGTACGATTTGTGTATTGTTGTTCTGCATGCTTTATGAAATTTAATTTTTTGGTCTATAATGACCCCTAAATACTTTATTTGGCGGAAGAATTGCAATGGTAGACTGTTCATAACTATTTCACATTTGCGAGCTTTATTGGTAAATGATATCATTTGGGTTTTATTAGGATTAAATCTTAGTTTGACTGAGTTTCCCCACGATACAATTTTGGAAAGAGCTTCGTTAGTTGTAGTTTCAAGATTTTGGGTATCTTTTGAAGACACTATTAAAAAGAGATCATGTGCGAAGGCTTGGAGATGACATCCATTGGGTAGCTCAGATGTTAAGAGCTCATCAAGTATCAGGTTCCATAGCATTGGACCGCAAACTGAACCCTGAACGCATCCCCGAGACATATACTTGGTAGCTGAACTATCCGCAAAATCAAGTTTGACTACACGGTGTTGGAAGTAATTTTTAAGAAGATTATATAAGTTGCTAGGACATTTAATAGTGTGAAGCCTATGAAACAGTGCTGGCCACCAGGCATTGTCAAAAGCCGCCTGTATATCGAGTGAGATTGCCAACACTTGATGATTTTGTAATCTAGCATTTTGTATAACGTCAAGTGCTTTTTTGGATAGCAGCCGTTGTTGAAGTTTGCTCTTTGAAACCGAATTGTAAATTACTAGTTGCATTAGTTGTGTGTAAGAAATATGTAAGTCTTTTAGTAATTAATTTTTCTAAAGCCTTTCCAAATACATTAATGAGTCCTATCGGTCTATACGAAGCGGTATTAAGTTCGGTTTGATTGTGTTTTGGGATAATTTTTATATATGCGACCTTCCAGTCCTTTGGAAAGTGGCCGAGTTGCAGGCATCTGTTCATTATTTGAGTGATTGTAATAGGGAAAGTTTCAGCAAATTTAAAACATATATCCGATGTGAGGTGGTCTAGACCAGGTGATTTTTTGGGGTTCATGGATTTCAATGACTCAAGTACTTCTTCTACAGTAAATGGAGCATCTACTGGCGTGTCGGGTGTTTCGTTAAAAGAATTACGCAGCTGCATGTGCCTTAAGCATGTATCGGGTCCATCATCAGGAAAATATTCATTTAAAAACGTTTCAGCAGTTTCGTATGTTGTTTTTGTTGTATTTACCCGCTCTTGTTTTAAGAGTTGAGGGAGGCTGCTTCAAAGGTGTGGTCTTAAGTAACCGATTGGTTATACTCCATACATCCTCCTTTCCCTGCTTATTGCAGAACTCCCTGAAATGCTCAGTTGAAGCAATTCTAATTGCTTGAGCATATTCATTTCTTAAGTTTTCTTTTTCTAGCAACAATTCGGTTAACGGTTTTTTACTGCGTTTCATTTGTTGAATTTTGTGGTGATTTTTTATAACTTTTTGCTTGAGATTTTCTAATTTATCATTCCACCAAGGTGCTCGATTTGTTACTTTAGACGATTTTCTCGGAAAGAGTTTGTCGCTAACCTTTTGTACTGCTGTGACTAATTTTGTAATATATTTATCTAACTGGGAGGTGCTTAAATTATCTACATTAATATTGAGGTCTAAATATTTGGCTAACTCGCATTTAAACTGTTCTGTAATTTCATCCCATTTTATATTCTGAGTATTGTATTTAAATGTTGAAAGTTTTTTTGGTTTGCTTAACAAGTTGTTATTTAAAGACAAATCAAAAGTGATAGCATTATGATTGGATGATGGGACGGCGTCTAGTACAACTTTCCAGTTGGAAATTTTGTTCGATAGAGAATCAGATGTCATTGTGAGGTCAATTATAGATTCGCGATGGGTTTTATGTGTAACCGTTTCATATGTAGGAACGTTACCTGAATTACATAGAATAAGATTATTAGTAGTTATAAGATCTACTACCATATTTCCGCGGCGATTGGATCTAATCGAGCTCCACATGGGGTGCCATCCGTTAAAGTCACCACAAATGATGTGAGTGTGATTTGTATATTTCTGCAGAAATATTTCTAGACTATTCATTGTATTAATTTCATCCTTCTTGGGTTCAATGTATACACTAATTAGAAATAGTTTTTTACCGCCAATGTCTATTTTAACAATACAAAGATTGGAAGTAGAGTATTCCGAAATACCCAGTGTGCAGCCTATAGTCCGCCTTACGAGTAGGCATGCTTTTACTCGGTGCGCTGTGGGGTATTGATATATATTATAGTTAGGGATAGACTTCATTACGTTGTCTTTTCCAACATAGGGTTCGCTTTAAACACTATATCATATTTGTTGTCATTTATATATTTAATCATTTCATGCATCGCTGCATACCCTTTGTCAGTGTTAATTTGTAAGCATTTTAAAGGAAGGTGATTTTTTGGATTTGTTTTATTTCCGTTGTTAATAGCCATAGTCGGTTCTGTTTTTGCAGATTTCTATTTGTTTTTGTAAGCGGGGGCAACGTAGCGAAGTAGCACTGTGTTTAGTAATAATATTTAAATTATATTTCTTACAATGCGAAGAACAGTTATAGCAGTCAACTTTAGTTGAATCTTTTTTAACCGGGCAGTCTTTATACGAGTGTTCTGATGATGAGCAATGGGAGCAAATTGTTGTATTTTCGGTGCAGTGTTTCTTTGTGTGACCAAACTGCATACACTTATAGCACTGGAGGTAAGCTGGGTAGTCTTCAGTATGTACACGTTGGTGATCGACGTTTATTCTTTGAAGTTCCACAATTGATCTCCAGATTGTGGGAGTAACCATAAACACAGCGTTATATAAATTTTCGTTTTTGTTTTTTCGCGTAAATCGGTAGGTTATGTCGTCGGGTGATTTAATGAGGCTTTTTATATTTGGATTTTGGTTTACAATTATTTCTTTAAGCTCACTCACAGGTGTGTCCCTGTAGATGCCTTTTAGAATTACCAAAGGCTTGAGCTTCTTGGCTATGTCAGCGTTAACAAGGCTGTCAGGATGGTTTATGGCGTTAAGGATTTCGTCACGCTGTTCTTGATTATCAAACTCAACCCTAATTTTGTGGTTGGACACCAGCTTTACTTCAGAGGGGTTGAAGGTGTATTTTTTGAAATGAATGCTATTACGCCACGCGTTTACGGTTTCTTTAGAGGAAGAGACTTGCTGTTTAGAGCTAACTATTATGGCCGGCTTGGTAACCGGTATAGGTTGTTTCTCAGCAGATTTTGTCGATTTAACAACTTTGGCGTAGGATGGTAGTGATGATGGAATGATAGAAGGTTTGACCAGATCTTGCAGTGGCTGAGTGGTAATTTTTTGTGGTAGTACCGCTAACTTAGAGAACTCTTCCCTAATAGTGTTCCTGATTAATGAAACTGTTTTATTTTCGGCTGATGAGTTTGAATGACGTAATATCGTTTTTACTTGGTCGTACAATTGTTGCGTACTTCGTTTAATTTCGTCAAGAGATTTTTTGATGTTATCTTTGTTGGTGCGAGTTACACTCCTATTACCATCCAAATTTTGTAGGATCAATTTCGTGTGTTCACTAATATTTATCAAAAACCCATCATTAAGCTCTGGAATAGAGTCGGATCGTGCCCTTTCAAATTCGTCTTGTGTAACGTTTGTTGGATTTTCAGGTAGAGTCAACTCTTCAATCAAATCTAGGCTAGTAAGAGCCTCCGAAGTAGTAGAAGTATTGTGTAGATTTGACATTTATAATATATGTAAATTTACTTAAGTAATAAATAACCGGGAGGGTGGGGAGTCGATTTTTGTCTAAACTAATTGTTTTTATTTACGGGCTTAATAAATAATAAAAAAGATATAAATAAAAAGAATCGATGTTCTTAAAAAAAATCGATATAAATAAAAATCGATAGATTCCTGCAAGCCAACTTAAGTAAGATAAACAGGGAGGGTGGGGGGGACGATTTTTTCCAGTTCTATATGTTTTATAAAGCAAATAAGAGTGCAGATGGTAGTTTCTACACTAGACGGACCTAATAAAAGCAAAAAGAGCGAAATAAATGAAGATTTGAAAAATTTTAAATATTTTAGGAAATTACGATTATGGGAAAACGAATTATGTGGAAATCAAAATTTTAGCGGTACAAATTAATTATAAAAACTATGGATAAATACGGGGGGCGGTTAAATACACTATTAACAAAGAAAATTTAAACGGAAAAGGCCACTTTTCAGCCGAATTATAGATGAATACGTGTTTTTATTGATGAATTCACGTAAATAAGAGACTGAAAATATGAAAATTATATATATAACGTTAGGAATTAACCAAGAAAACTATATAGAATTACGGGGTGCAGTTAGTTACACTATTTAAATAGAAAATTTAAAAGGAAAAGGCCAATTTTCAGCCGTGCTATAGATGAATACGTGTTTTTATAGATGAATTTAAGTAAGAAATAGACTGAAAATATGAAAATTAAATATATAACGTTACGAATTTACTGAGAAAACTATAAGGAAATGTGGGGAGCAATTAACTACACAATTTAAAGAAGATTTGAACGAAAAATACCAATTTTTAGAAAAGTTATTAGCGAATTTATAGTTGGTTAGGTTAGGTTAGGTTAGGTTAGGTTAGGTTAGGTTAGGTTAGGTTAGGTTAGGTTAGGTTAGGTTAGGTTAGGTTAGGTTAGGTTAGGTTAGGTTAGGTTAGGTTAGGTTTTTTTTTTTTTTTTTTTTTTTTTTTTTTTTTTTTTTTAAAGATTCCCCCTAACATGGAGATCAGGGACTTTTTTCCATCTTTTTATTTTTATTTCTTTATTTATATATTTTCTAATTTTTTATTTTATCTTTTTGCTTTTTTCTTTTTTACTTCTTTTTGACTTACATTCTATTACAGTTCTTAAATTTAGATTACACGTGTCTTACATTACTACATTCATCTTTATTACTATGTCTTAATCTACTTTTATTCTTAGATTTATCTTTAGCTCTTAGTTTCTGATGCAGTTCTTATTTCTATTTTAATATACCTTACATTGTTGTCTATATATTACTTTTTATATTTCTTACTATAACTTAATCTATTTTTATTTTTACTATTTTTACGGGGCTGTTTACATTATATACCTATATATAATTTACAGTTTCCCTTTTATACTCTTATTTATTCTTTTTGTATCACCTTATTAGCTATAGTTTTACAGTACTTTAGGAACCTACTTCTAACATATTTATTTCTTATTATTTTACATATATTTTCTTTACTAATTTTTATTGCTAATTCTATTTCTATGTCATTTCTATGTTTGCTATAGACAGGACATTCTGTAATAATATGTATTACACCTTCTTCCTTCATCGGATCACAGACACATGCCGGGCTCTCTTTACATTTGAATCGATGCAAATATTCTGAGAACCCGCCATGTCCTGTCATCACTTGCACCGTTAGCGAGTCCATGTGTATTTTCCTTATTATAGGATAGGCGCTTAAGGCGTCTGGGAAGAAGACTTTTGTTATGGAAGCCGTTTTGCCTTCCATGTAGCGCCGGTTCCATTCGTCAAGCGAATCTAGACGAATCTGTCGCTTGACAAATGAAATCGGGCACTTATCATAGTCCGATTTGCGTTTAATTTTTAATGCAGCCTCTTTCGCTACCTCGTCCGCCCTCTCGTTTCCCTCCAATCCTGCGTGTGCCTTAACCCAAAACAATTTAAGCAATTTTCCCTTTTTGTTTATTTCTGATATATTTTTTCTAATTTTTTCCGCTAGGGGATGGAGGGAAACGCTCTGGACAAGTGTCTGGAGGGCAGATCTAGAGTCGCTGTATACGTGGCAGATCTGTGCCGGATCTTTCAGGGCAAAATTTGTTGCCTCGTATATGGCCAGCAATTCTGCCTGGTAGACAGTGCAGAAGTCTTCCAACTTTAATTTTCGGGTACTTGTCTCCGCTGCGTTATTCCAAATAGATAACGCAGCGCCGACTTTCCCCTCGATCTTGCTCCCGTCTGTAAATATTTTTAAATCTTCATTGTTATGTTGGTTGACCTGTGCACCATCCTCCAGGCATGTGAACTGCAGCCCAACTTGATACGCGGGGTGAGGTGTCTTTACGTACTCTACTTTTCGTTCCACGTCACGATCTCCCACTACTCGCTGGGAATGACCTTTCTTTATTTCATAAAATAGGTTAGGTTAGGTTAGGTTAGGTTAGGTTAGGTTAGGTTTTTTTTTTTTTTTTTTTTTTTTTTTTTTTTAATAAGTTTACTCTACAGACTCGAAGTCCGTACCTTTTTTTGCTTTACTTTATTTTATTAACTTTTAAAATACTGTTATAAATGTACTCCTTACACTACTTACATTTCTTAAATATTTAAGCCTAAGCAGTGAGTTCACATATATATGTTTATATATTTTTTTTTTTTATTTCTTTTTTTTTTTTTATTTCTATTGTCTTACATTCTTAAGATCTACAAACTGATATGCTACCCCGCTTTGTGACTCAGAACTTTTGCTAAGTTTTTCCCTGGCTGCGGCCTTTTCTTTGGCCGTTTTCAGTTGCAGGCGTTCTGAGCCACTAAGTGTCTCTGGATTTGCTACAAGATGTTGGGTTGCCTTTGTTGAGTCGTGATGTTTGAGGAAGCTCAGGTTTTCGCCCCTATCCTCATACACGACTATTTCATGTTTGTTTGAGGCTTTTATACAACCAAAGTGGTCCATGACTTCACCTTTCTCATATAGGACCACCATGGCATCCACACTTATGATGCGGGGTATGACAGATGTCTCTTCCTCACCGAGTCTCGTTAGCAGTGAGCATGCCTGGGCGAATGGGGTTTTTTCTTCGCTCCATGTGAACAGCAAGATCGTTTTGTTTTTCGATCTTACTATTCGACATCGTTGCTTTGCAACCTCTATTTCAACTAGCGCCTCATATGTTTTGCGCTTCATGCTCGTTTTGAGAGTACTGCCGTTTAGTAAGCTTGCGAGACCGGGAGATATTTTGACATAGTTTCGGCCAGTTGTTAAGCAAAAACTTAAGCCGAAACGCTCTGTGTTGTTATCCATGAAGAGAGCTACTCCTCGAATTCTCAGGCCTGGGTTACCTCTTTCAGCGCATGCAAGTAGCTGATGGTCTGCTTTATTGGCTGGGATGCTCTTCTCCTTTACGGAGACCTCTGCGAATTCCGCAACAGTTTGCTGCTCCCTGGGGAGTGGATAGTTCATGGCGTTACGCTTTGCAGCAGCGCGAAAGATGGACTCCACGAATGCCAGAAATTTGGGCCTTTTTTCTTCGTCTTCGATGATTTTGTGTAGGTTAGACTTGTCAAGATTGGTGTTTATGCAAAACTCGAGATCCAGACGTGCCGCCTGATAGCGGGGACACTCCAGAATCACATGCCACACTGACTCACTGACATTGGGATCGCACTCGCACCCTGGTGTATCCTTAAGCTTAAAGCGGTGCAAGTACTCCGCAATTCCACCATGTCCTGTTAACACTTGTACCTGTGTGGGTGTCAACTTCGTCTTTCTCACTATCCGGTATGCTATTGCAACATCCGGTAGGAATATTTTGGTGACTTGCCCAGTGGTCGAGGTCTCGTATCTGTCCTGCCAGATTCGAACGGTTTCCTCTCTGATTTTCTTTTTAACGTAGGACATGGGGATTTTGTCGTAGTCTGGAGTGGCTGTCTCCCGGAGTGCCGCCGCCTTGGCAAGCTCATCAGCTCTCTCATTTCCAGACGTGCCTACATGAGCCCTCAACCAAAACAGCCGTATCACTCTTCCCTCTTTTCTCATCTTCCCTATGCTTTCTTGAATGGCCTTTGATAGGGGGTGGCTTGCTTTAGGGTTTGCCAGTAGATCGAGCGAAGATCTTGAGTCACTCATAATGTTAACAACAGGTTTAGTGCTCGATTCAGCTAGTTTGGTCGCCCTGAGCAAGGCATAGAGCTCGGATTGGAAGACTGTACAGGATGGATCCAGTCTAAAGGTGGAACTACTGATCTCCCTACCATCTTCCCACCACGTTAAAGCTGCTCCGACCCTCCCTTCTATCTTACTTCCATCGGTGTATATGTGAGGGCCGGTTAGTTGGTGGAGGTTTGTGTTTCCGATTGTTTCCAGTAGCTCATATTCCAATTTGACGAGTTTAGAGGGATGAGGTTGATCCAAGTGATTTACACGGTTTTCAAGCTCTCTTCCTGGTGGTAAATAGTCCAGTGTGCCTTGTTTCCTGGTTTGGTACAAGCTGGACGCTTCTTTTATTCTCAGGTCTAACGGAAGCAGACCCGAGATGGCAAGTGCGGAAGTGAGCGATACCGTGCGGTACGCTTTACAGATCTTCTGCGCGAAGCCCCTTTGCAACGTGTTTAGTTGGTCTTTGATCATCTGAAGTTCTGTTGCTGAGGACCACGCGCTCGAAGCGTACATCACTATAGGTTCGACGACTGCAACGTATATTGTCCTTACAATCTCACCATTGAGACCCCAGGTCACCTTGGCCGCGCATGCAAGCTGTTTGTATATGTCAGCCGCTTTTTTGCATACGGCTGCTACATGCGGTTTAAAGGTGAGTCCACGGTCAATGATGAGACCGAGTACTTTAATTTCCTCTACGAGGTTTACTCTGCTGCCGGACATTTGCAGGTTCGGGAGGTCAAATTTAAGTTTTTTAGTGACAAGCATTGCATTTGTTTTATGCGCTGCAAACTTTAGCTTGTTCTGGGTTCCCCACTTCTTTACTCTTTTTAGAGTGTCATTGGCCTGTTGCTCCAGGGCACTCGTTGAGTGACTCGAGAACACCAAGACGACGTCATCTGCAAATGCCTGACAATACACCCCTTCGTTCGTAAGTTGGTGCAGCAGTGAGTCTAGGATAACATTCCAAAAGGTTGGTCCACCGATAGATCCTTGAACACACCCCTTCGTAGTTCCCCTCTCACTCGTTGCTCTGGCATAGTTAATTACGATTTTTCGATCTTGAAGGTAAGAGCCAACCATATCGTAGAGGTTTTTGGGACATTTCTTTTTGGCTAGTTGCAGTTTTAATGCTGGCCACCATGCGTTGTCAAAGGCTCCCTCTATATCTAATGAAACAACAAGGACGATCTTCTTATTCCTCGCTTCGTTTTTGATGTATTTCAATAGATCATGGAGGGCGTCCTCTGTACCACGTTGAGGCATGAACCCATACTGGTTTTTATTAAGGGTTGGGAGGATGTACCACTGGAGTCGGCCCACCATCAACTTCTCGACTATTTTTCCGAGTACTGACAGGAGACCTATTGGTCGGTATGACTTTGGATGTGTATAGTCATCCTTTCCTGGCTTACGGATGATGACCACATGTGCAGTTTTCCACTGCTTGGGAAAGTACGCCAATTTCAAGCACTTGTTGGCTATCGCTAAGAATACTTTCCTGTTGCAGTTTATTGCAGCGGAGCAGATGTCAGCTGTTAGCCCGTCTGGTCCAGGGGCCCTTTTTGGGGTTTAGTGTTTGTAACACTGATTCAAGCTCCGCTTCTGCAAAAGGTGGGTCATCCTCTGACAAACCTAGGTCTTTGTTAATTTCCGTCAGCTCTCGTATTTTGGTGTGGTATGGCTGATCTGTTTCCACACAGTCGTCAGGGTAAAATGTTTGGGCCAAGAGTTCTGCCGACTCTTTTGGTGTCAGAGTTTCCCCTTGGATGTTTCTTAGGAGCATGTCCTCATATCTTCTTGAGGATTTCCGGATAACTCTGTAAATTTTATCCCACATGCTCTCCCTTTCCTGTGTCGTGCAGAATTCCTTCCAGCTTTCGGTTTGCGCCTCCTCAACTTTTATGGTGTATTGTTGTTTAAAACTTATGTATTCGTCTATTACGTGTTGTCTTCGACTTGGTGCCGCATTTCTAATACGTCTTTTTTTCCTATGGACTTCTTTTTTGAGTTGGTTGAGGGATTTTGACCACCATGGGGGCGTTGCATTCACCCCCCTCATGCCCATTTTCGGAATAGTCTCATCACAAGATTCCTGGATTGCTTTTGTGTAGGCTATTGTGATGGATTCCAGATCGTCATGGATTTCCGCCTCCTCAATTAGTGTGGGAGTTATGGCTCTTTCTTTTAGAAGGGATCTAAAGCGTGTTGAGAAGTCCGACCAGTTTGCCTTTCTGGTGTTGTATTTGCGCGTTGTGCAGGGCCGTAATTGTGTCAAGACCGCTTTGGTGCGCAGTGTAAACATAATCGCGTTGTGGTCTGATGTAATTAGGCTTCTCTCCACTCTCCAGTCCTCCACATTGCCGAGAAGTGACGAACTGCAAGCAGTGACGTCTACTATGCTCGAACAAATTCTCCCCCCTTCTGTATGTTTCGAAGGTAGGCGTGTCACCCGTGTTCAGAATATGGAGATCCATTTCATTGAGGAAGGTGTTATATGCCGCGCCTCTTTCATCTTCGGAATTACTTCCCCACCATTGGCTCCAAGCATTTATGTCTCCAGCCACTATGATGTTGTTTGTGTGAAGTTTTGCGCAAGCTGCTTGGATTCGCCTAAGGTAGGGATTTATCTTGCTCTCCCTCGAGGTAAACTGACACGACTCCCAGTTTTAAATTTCCTGCAACGAGAAGTACTGCCGCTTCTGTTTCGGTAACCAGCTGTGGATCATGGATAACCTCCAGCTGATCTCCGAAGATCAGCACTGCGGCCTTTACCGGTTTTTGTCTATTCAGGCTGCATTGAACTACTCGCGTGCCAGGATGTTCTTTAATAACGCCATTTTTTCCCACATAGGGTTCCTGTACTATGGCAATCGACACTCCTTTATTCGATGCAACCTGAAGTAGTTCCGCCGTTGCTACCCTGGAGCGTTGCAAGTTCACCTGAATGATTTTGAGGTCTGACCTACTAATGTTGGAGTTTATATTATTTTGGTTGCCCTTAGCAGTAAGATATGCGGGACCGTGCTATTGCATCCCACTTCTGCTTTTCCCGGCAATCAAAGCTAAAAGCATTGTGTGCCAGGTCCGTATCGGCACCGCGCGCTTTGAGGCAATTTTTACATCGGGGGGGTCTCCCCTCCAGTCTGATCGGGCATTTGTCCCATGAATGGGTCTCTCCGCAGTGACTGCAGAGTTCCTCCTTTTCATGGCACACTGCTTTTGTGTGGCCAAAACCGAGGCATTTTGTGCATTGCACAAGGGGAGAGTGATCCATTATTGGTCTTCTTTGGAGGCCGATGTAAATTTTACCCGCATCAATGAAGCGCCTGTGCACTTTTGGAGAGAGCTCAAGTACAGGATGGCACTCTTGTGGATTCCTCGCCTTTTTCCTGTATCGAACTCTGACTGTTCGTTCTTTCTCATCGACGTCATGCAGAAGGTGTTTGTTCTGCGCCAGTATATTTTCCACGATTTCGACGTCTGTGTGATACGATAGCACGTCCCTGATTATCGCCAAGGGATTGTTTGTTCTGGCAACCTCTACTTTTAAACTTTTATTTGTCTTAACTCTATTTTGGACAAGGTTAAGATCCTCCTTGGTGTTGCAACTGAGGACGACTTTTTGGTTTTTCGCCTTCCTTACCCTATCTACTTTGGCTCCAGTCTTTTTTGTGTCTAGAGCCTCCCTGATTCTCTCGATGATATTTTCGGCTGTGTTTTTCGAATCAGTTGATGTGATAATGAGAGTGTGATTGGGTTTAGGAAGGGGAGGGCTTGCAGCCACTCTGGCGTATGTCTTTTTTGGCTTTGTTGCTGCTTCGCCAGTTTGTGCAAGCTCTGTTGCTAGACTTGGGGCTGTAGGTGATGGGGCCCGTTGCTTCTGCTCTCTCATCGTCCTCAGCTCGGATGACATTGCACCTAAGTGTTCTTCTATTGGTTGAAGATGTTCCCTTATGCTGGTTTGGAATATTTTACCGGAGTCCGCTGAAGGTAAGATTGAAAGTCCAGATCTGATACTTGTATCTATCTCCTTCAGCGAACTCTTCATTCCATTCAGCTCATGTTCCAACGTTTTACTTATTTCCTCTGAGGGGTGGGATGGTGGTGACTCCAGGCGTAGCAGGGTTTTTTGGCCGGTCTCCAGAACCATCTTGGTGTTGTTTTCGGACTTTTCGATGACTCTGCGCATTTCGTCCAATTGAAGTTTGAGTGTTTCCACACTAGATTTTACTCCAGTAAGGTCCACTCTTAGGTGAGATAAAATGTTGTCTGCACCTTCTTGCTTCTGCTGACTCAAGTTCGACTGAATCACACCTATGCGCTTGTCTAAGTCCGTCACAGCTTTGAGTAGGTCGCTCGTTTTGCGGAAGGGCTCTTGGGTTTCGAAGTTCAACCAACCCCGTATCGCCTTGGATTCCTGGAGGGTATTTTTTATATCTGTCCTGGCATGGCCTAGTTCGGAAGCCATTTCCTTCATAAGCTGGGTGATGATCTTGTTATGGGCGCGCTCCACTCGCATTAGTTCTTGAGCGTTGCGTGAGCGTTCCCTTTCTAGATTATGCTTATGTCTAGATCTGGAATCTGACAGCGCCAGGACCATCTCGTAGAGGGACTGCAGACTCTCTAAAGCTGTTAACTTACACTCCCTCTTCATATTCCCTGCCATTTCTAGCGCTTCCTTCCCTCTCAGAAGCATTTCGTTCGCTTCTTTTGTTGCCATATCCATTTCCACCCCCCAGTCGCCTGTTGGAGTTAAAAAGCAGGCTGGGTCTTCCTTTTTCCGGTGCCTCCGATAGTGGTGATTCCGGCGCAGATGTGATCGAAAGTTCTTCGTCGGATAAAACTGGAAGTGGAGGAATTTCTTCCTGCTTCCAGTTAGCTACTTTGTCGATAGCCGCATCTACCGGGTCACAAACGGAGGATCGGATCGAGCTGTCGCTTTTAACTGAAGTTTGCGACATTTTAGTTCCCAGAGTGGGGGTGTGCGAAGAGGCATTTTTTCTTGTTGTAGATGCGTCTGTCGGAGCAGAGTCCGCTGGACGTTTTCCTGTTGCGGGATGAGATGATGGCTGCGACAACTTCTCGCTAGGTGTTGCTTTTGATAAACTGGATTTTGTAAGTACTTTTTCCCGCAGCGATCGTGGAGGTCTAGGTGGAGCAACAGAAAGGTTTTGGGAGGACTTGATTGAAGAAGCAGTCTCCACATCCAAAACCGACATAATTACAAAAATTAAAAGATTCTCTAATTGTAAGTTGCCTTAGTAGCTATAAATATAGGTAATGTCTTATAAAATATTATACAAGTATTATATATTTTTTAATATTTGAAGATATTTATTATATTTTTTTTTTTGTGAACTCACTGCTGGTGTTCTTCGATGGTTGAATTGCAGTGAAGAGTACGATGGACGCGAAGAAAGAGCCCGTTGTGGGATCTCCGGTTGGTATGCTGTGAGTCCTGGAGTATGCTTGAGGTGTTATTGTCCGGGTTGGTATCGGACTATGGTGAAAAATCAAAATTCTGTAGGGGCCAGAAGGTAGAGCTCTTTTTCCTGATTCAAATGAGCCCTTACACGGGGGGTCTAGCTCCTCTGGTAAACTAGTTATGGCTCGCGGGGGAAAGGTAAGCCTCGAGGGGCGAGGGGGGAGGGGGGGGGGGTAAATTCGCGGGAAGCTTATATATGGTATAATAAAAAATGAGGGGGGCGTAGGTAGTTGGGGGGGTGGGGGGGTGGGGGGGTGGCGGGAATTCGTAAGGAGCGTATATCTGGTATAAAATTAAAGATTGTAGGGGTTAGGAGGGTAGGAAGGGTGAAAGAGGGTGTTAAAGGTGGGGGGGGGTTCAAGGATAGGGGTTTTATATGGGGGGGGGAGGTGATATGTGTGGTGGGGTCTTGAGAATCTGACTCAAATGAGTCCAAACTCGGGTGGTCAGGAGTAAGGGGTCTAGGAGTTCCCTCGGGGTTTACCTGATGGCCGTTGAAAGTGTCTCCAGCTGCGGCGATTGTATGCTTGAGGGATTCCTCGGTCCGTCTTCGAAGGCTCCACTGAAGTCTGCACCGTCGCCGGACGCCTCGTGTTCACTGACTCGCTTTAACCTCAACGTCTGAAAGCACGTTGCAACCACGTGGTTTGAGGTTAAGTTGTTAATTTTAAGGAGTCAATAACTTCTGTGTTTGTGGGCCGATTTTATTGATTCTTTCGCCGTTTTACTGATCTCTATAGCGGCTCTCAAGTACTGATGAGTACTTGGCAATTTTGCTGATGGTGTCGACACTATTTATCCCCAAAGTTAAGAGGCTACTGCCCCTAAACCATCCAATGCACAGAGTTCTCCCCAATTACGCTGATGAGATGCACACTCAAAAACTTTTTCACAGCACTTCCACTCGCGTAGCTCAAAAATTGCTATTTTTTAAGCAATTTCTCCGTGGAGCTTATGTTGAATATGTCACTTTCAGATGTGTACTGGTTAGGTTAGGTTAGGTTAGGTTAGGTTAGGTTAGGTTAGGTTAGGTTAGGTTAGGTTAGGTTAGGTTAGGTTAGGTTAGGTTAGGTTAGGTTAGGTTAGGTTAGGTTAGGTTAGGTTAGGTTAGGTTAGGTTAGGTTAGGTTAGGTTAGGTTAGGTTAGGTTAGGTTAGGTTAGGTTAGGTTAGGTTAGGTTAGGTTAGGTTAGGTTAGGTTAGGTTAGGTTAGGTTAGGTTAGGTTAGGTTAGGTTAGGTTAGGTTAGGTTAGGTTAGGTTAGGTTAGGTTAGGTTTTTTTTTTTTTTTTTTTTTTTTTTCCCCACAAATATCATCACTTTTGTGGGAGTTGGCAATGTTTTTCATTTGCCGTTCTGCTATTTGATACAGAACATTTGTGCGCTGTGGGAATTCTTGGAGATGTTTTGTAAATATTTATTTTACATGTTTTGAGTTCAAAATTATTCTGTTCCGTTAAATTTCTTGAGACTTTTTATTATACTATTAATATGGTGTAGAAACGTTTCAAATGTGCTTTCCTTTTTAATAATTTCTTCAATGGAGAAGGGTTGTACTTTAAAATTGGCGCAAGTTATCGTATGGGTTAGACGTGTAGCTTGGAATTTTGGACAATCATTAAGTAAATGGAAAATTGACTGTACTGCAGTGTCGTCGCAAGGGCATGTGTTATTTTCCACTATTTTAAATCTATGAAGGTACTCTTTGTGGTAGCCGTGTCCTGTAAGAATTTGTGTTAGTGTGAATGAGTGCTTGGTGACTTGGTATAATTCTTGTATGTGTGTAAGTGTAGAGAGCCATTTTCTGGTTATATCACCTTTCATGTTATCTTGGTAAAATTGTTCGGAAGCTACTTTACTATCTTGTTGAGCAAGTTTTCTTACGAAGCTAATTGGAAATTTTATGAGAATAGGGACGTTATGGCTTGTGGCTGCAGCTTTGGCTGCCAGGTCAGCAGCTTCGTTACCAGCTATACCTGTGTGGGCTTTGACCCAAATGAAATTAACTGATAAGCTGTGGTTGTCTAGCATTCTGTGGATGTTGGTAACTATTTGATTTGTACTATTGGGGTTACCGATTTCTTGTAGTCCAGATTTGCTGTCAGTCAGAATAGCTGCATTCGGAATGTGTTTATCTGCAAGCCACACACAAGCTTGTTCTATGGCTTTCAACTCAGCTTGAAACACCGAGCAAGAACTATGGAGTTTTAGTTTTCTAGTTATAATTTTACCATTGGGGCAATATACAACAAAAGCTCCCCCAACCTTTTCGTCGTGTCTACTACCATCTGTGTAGATGTGATGAGTGTTTTCGAGGAGAATCTGATTGACTTCTTGAGCGTTATTGGCTTCTTGGTAATGGATAATTTTGCGACGAGATGGATGTAATCGTTCTTCTGGTTTCGATGGTGTGTCTAAACTAATGTCTGTTGGAAGATATTTGCTTGTGCCTGTTAGTTTCGTTGTTTCAATGATTGCCAGTTCATTAATTTTAATGTGTATAGGAGTCAGCCTTGCCAGTGCTATTGCATTGATGGTATTTACGGTTCTAAAACCTTTAATTATTTTTATAGCAAAACCACGTTGCAGGGATAGCAGCTTGTCTCTTACATGTTTATATTTTAATGCCGAGTGCCATATGCTGGGCGCGTAACAGATAATTGGTTCAATAACATTTTTATATATAATCTCAATATTTTCGGATTGTATTCCCCAAGTAGGTCGGATATATTTTAATAATTTGTTATATATACTTCTTGTTTTGACCAATATATGATGAACATGTTGAATGAATTTTAGTTTTTTATCTATAATGATGCCTAGAATTTTTATATAATTTTCCAATTTGATGGGAGTGCCAGATACTGATATTTTTATTTTCTCAGCTTTACCTGTGAAGGCAATTGCTTGGGTTTTCTGAGGCCCAAATTTTAATTTGACTGACTCTCCCCAAATGGTGATTATATGGAGTGCCTTATTAATTATTTCCTGTAACTTTAAGGGGTCTTTGTCGTGAGCAATGAGCGTAACGTCATCAGCAAAGGCTTGAATATGACATCCTTCGGGAAAGTCCTTTTCAAGTAATTCATCCAAGATCAGGTTCCAAAATGTCGGTCCGCAAACTGAACCTTGGATGCATCCTCTACTCATGGCTTTGTTGGCACTGCTGCTTGAGAAATTTATGCTAACTGTTCGCTCGCTGAGGTAGTTTGTTATTAGTTTGTATATATTCTTGGGGCAATTAATTATGTGGAGTCTACGCAAAATAGCGGGCCACCAGGCATTGTCAAATGCCGCCTGAATATCCAAAGAGACAGCGACAACTTGATCTCCCTTGATTTTACAATTTCTAACAAATGTAATCATATTATTAAGTGCTTCTGTCGTTGACCTTTGTTCCTTGAACCCATATTGTTTACTATTGAATTTGTTGTTAGTGTAAATAAAATGATTTAGTCGTTTGATGACCAACTTTTCAAGGAGTTTGCCAAAAACATTAAGCAGTCCGATGGGGCGATAAGCTGAGATTTCAGTATAGTCAAGTTTGTTGGGCTTAGGAATAATAATTACTTGCGCATGTTTCCACTGTCTAGAGAATATTGATAAAGCTAGGCATCTATTCATGATATTCGTTATTAGTTCTGGAAATGTTTGAGTGAAACAGAAGCATATGTCGGAGGTAAGGTGATCTGGTCCAGGTGATTTTCGAGGGTTCATATCCTTGAAGTTATGGAGGACTTCATCAATAGTAAATGGAGGATCATCATTTGTATTCGGTGGAAATTTTATGGTTTGTCGGGTGACGGTTTGGGAACTATATGTGTCAATGGTGTCCTCTGGATAAAATTTTTGAAGAAATATATGGGCTGTTTCTTCAGAAGAAGTAGTATATTTGTTTGGTGCTATTTTGAGGGTGGAAGGTGGTAGGGTTGGGATTGAATTCTTCAGCAATCTATTTGTAACTGACCACACATCTTCCTTACCTTGTTTGTTGCAGAATTCACGGAAGTTTTCAGTTGAGGCCTTTCTGATTGCTTCGGCGTATTCCTTTCGGAGTTGGGTCTTGTTTGTAATTGCTTCGTTCATTGGAAGACGTTTTCGACTAAGTTTTTGAAGCAGGTGATGGTTGTCAAGAACTTTTCTTTTTAATTTTTCTAAGTCTTCGGTCCACCAAGAAGGGCGCTCAGAACGAATAGAAGAGTGGGGAAGATACTTTTTACAAATTTTGTGAATAAACGCGGTTATTTCATCAATAAAGTGTAGTAAGTTATTTGGATCTAGGGATAGGATGTCAATTTTGTTAAGTTGGGTCAGTTCAATTTCTCTGGAAAAGGCTTCGCTTAGTTTTCCCCATTGCTTAAAATTATTAGTATTATATTGGTAAGTCGATTTTTTCTTATTCTGACGGATATGATTTTTATTAAGGAAATATTCAAATTTGATACCATGGTGATCAGAGGAGGGACATATAGAATTATCTATTTGCCAATTAATAATATGATTCGAGATTGAGGATGAAGTTATGGTGAGATCAACGATGGAACCACGTAGAATTCCATCCGCTGTAGTTTCATATGTATGATCTGTGCCAGTATTATTGATGGTAAGATTGTGAGGAATAATAATATCAACTATTTCTTTACCTCTTTTATTCGCTGTGGGAGATCCCCAAAGTTGGTGCCAGCCATTTAGGTCTCCCGCGATAATATGAATGGCGTCTCCTGTTTCAATTATAAATTGTTCCAAGTGGTTCGATGTTTCATTTTCATCGTCTTTGGGCTCTACGTAAATGCTAGTTAGAAATATTCTTTTCCCAGAAGTGATGAGCTGTACTATACATAAATTTGGCGTTGAACATTTTGAAATCCCGAGGCAGCTGCCAAGACCTTCTTTAATCAGAATGCTAGCCTTTACATGACGGTTATGAGGAAATTGGTATGTTGTGTAGCCGGGTGTTTTGTTCATAATTATATTATTTCCGATATATGGTTCATTTATAAAGACTACTTGTACACTATTTGAGCGACAATATGCCAATAATTCTTGTTGGGCATTATATCCTCGGCCCAAATTGCATTGGATGAATCTAATGCCATTATTAGACGTTTGGTTAGGTTAGGTTAGGTTAGGTTAGGTTAGGTTAGGTTAGGTTAGGTTAGGTTAGGTTAGGTTAGGTTAGGTTAGGTTAGGTTAGGTTAGGTTAGGTTAGGTTAGGTTAGGTTAGGTTAGGTTAGGTTAGGTTAGGTTAGGTTAGGTTAGGTTAGGTTAGGTTAGGTTAGGTTGGTTAGGTTAGGTTAGGTTTGGTTTGGTTAGGTTAGGTTAGGTTAGGTTAGGTTAGGTTTTTTTTTTTTTTTTTTTTTTTTTTTTTTTATGTATGCTTTGCTGCTATCCTCTGACATGGAGGTCAGAGACATTGTCAGCTTGACATGGACTTTATTTCATGTTTTTTATTTACTTTGTCCTTTTTGTTTTATAGAGGGTGTAGAGGACTCCGGGTTTTCGTTCGGGAGTCCTACTACTCTTAACCTAGTACACGCAATAACATTATATTTTATCATTTACTTATAAATTCCTCTATATTTAGTGCACATACAATTTGTAAATAAATCTTATAATTTGAATTTGGAGTCAGTGCATTCTCTCTGTATATACAAGTATAAACACAAGGAAGCGCCAATTTTATTTCTAAAATGAATACTAAGTCCTAAAGAATAATTGAATTAATAATTAGTTCAGATTACACAGATAGGTAAATAATAACAATAATAATAATCAACAATAGTCATTAGTCATATTTATCATATTAAAAATATTCGTCATATTAAACTATATTAAATTTCTATTATTTACTTTTGGTTATGTTTAGTGACTTGCTTAACTACACCCTCACAAAATTTAATAAATTTATTTCGAGTCCTTTTTTCAATGAGCAGCATGTGTAAATTTTCTTTTATTATCTGAATATCGGTTTCAGACTCGAAATCGTATCTGGCTTTATCAAACCGAGGACACTGTAGGAGGATGTGCATCACCGTCTCCTCAATTTCAGGCTCACAGACGCATGATGGGCTCTCCTTGCACCGAAACCGATACAGGTACTCGGAGAACCCACCATGTCCGGTCATTGCTTGGATCATCGTCGGAGACAGCGCTGTTTCCCTAATAACCCTGTGGGCTGTTTCAACGTCCGGCAGAAAGGCTTTAGTTATTCTGGCGGTCTCTCCCTCTGTATACCTCCGGTTCCATTCTTTAAGCGTCTCAGATCTTATAAGTCGCTTTACAAAAGAGACTGGGCAAAAGTCATAGTCCGGTTTTCTCTTTGTTCGCAGCGCCGCGTGTTTGGCCAGCTCGTCGGCGCGTTCATTTTCTACAAGACCCGCAAGGGCTTTTATCCAGAAGAGTTGTAGTGTTTTTTGTTGCCTTAGGATGTTAAAAATGTTTTTGCGGGTCTTGACTGCTAAAGGGTGTTGAGAGTCTTGGTTCACAATGGTCTCTAGAGCGGACCTAGAGTCACTGTAAACCCCGAAAGTTGTCTCCGCGCTAGAGAGAATTCGCTCAGTTGCCATGTATATGGCCAGTAATTCCGCCTGGTAAACAGTACAATGGTCCGACAGTTTGAGTTTCAGAGTTCGGATCTCAGCAGCATTATTCCAAAAAGATAAAGCTGCTCCGACCTTTCCCTCTATTTTACTCCCGTCGGTAAATATTCGGAGACTCTGGTTGTTGTTTAGTCTCGTTTCGTCCTCGTTTACCAGGCATATGAATTGCAGATCCATATAGGATGCGGGGTGAGGCAGTTCTATGAAGCTCGCCTTTGTCTCCACCACTCGGTCTGCCAGCACTGACTGGAGTTTTCCTCTCCTCGCCTCAAAAAGGGATGCTGCTTCTTGGACCCTCAAGTCCAGAGGAAGCAGACCAGACAGTGCTAGCGCCGAGTGTAGGGATACGGTCCGGTACGCTTTGACAATTTTTTGAGCAAATCCTCTCTGCACGGTATTCAGTTGCTTCTTGACTCCCAACTTTTTAGCGGCTGGCGCCCACGCACTCGCTGCGTACAAAACCACCGGTTGAACGACCGCCGTGTACATCGTCCTAATAATTTCGGGTTGAAGGCCCCAACTGATCTTTGCCGCTCTTGATAACTGTGTGTAGAGAGAGGCGGCCTTCCTGCACACATGGTTAGGTTAGGTTAGGTTAGGTTAGGTAGGTTAGGTTAGGTTAGGTTAGGTTAGGTTAGGTTAGGTTAGGTTAGGTTAGGTTAGGTTAGGTTAGGTTAGGTTAGGTTAGGTTAGGTTAGGTTAGGTTAGGTTAGGTTAGGTTAGGTTAGGTTAGGTTAGGTTAGGTTAGGTTAGGTTAGGTTAGGTTAGGTTAGGTTAGGTTAGGTTAGGTTTTTTTTTTTTTTTTTTTTTTTTTTTTTTCTTTTTTCTTTTATACTATTATCCTCCGACATGTTGATCGGAGACCTTATGTAGCTGATTGCTTTTTTATATATTTATGTTTATTTTAATTTTTCATTATTTTTATATAGCTTTTTTTTTTTATTAATTCTTTTTTTTTTTTTTAATATTATACACTATTTCTAATTAAATTCTCTTGTTTTTTTTTTCTTATTATGTTGCATACTTATTTTATATAATATTAGGACAAATGTACTCATATGTCGAATTATATAGTTTTCTTACTCTCTTGTTTTTTTTTTTTGTCCTTTTTTTACCAAGGTTTTTTTTTTTTATTGTACTTTTTGTTTGATGTATCTTATTCTATATTCTAAATTAATTTTATCTTGTTCTTGTTTAGGTACTTTTATTAGTTTTTATGATTTTATTTGCTACGGTTATACAATATTTTGTGAAAATGTTTCTGCCGCGTTTGTCTTCCATTATGTTGTGTATATTTTCTTTTGTCAATTTTAATCCTATCTGCAGTTCCACGGCTGCTCTATTTTTGCAAAATTGAGGGCAGTCTATAATTATGTGCAGAGAAGATTGGGGTTGGTTGTTATCACACGTACAGTCTGGTCTAGGTTTTATTTTAAAACGGAACAAATAATCTGCAAAGCCTCCATGACCGGTGAAAACTTGTACTAATATTGGCGTTAAATTAATTTGTTTTAGGATGCGATATGCTGCTTCTACGTCTGGAAAAAATACTTTTGTAATTTCGGCTTTTTCTTCTGTTAAATATCTCTTATGCCATTCCTTAATTGTTTTATGTCTAATTTGGTTCTTTATGAACGAAATCGGACATTTTGCGTAATTTAATTTTGTTTTTAATTTTAAAGCTGCTTCCTTTGCGAGTTCATCTGCGCGTTCATTTCCGGGAATACCTACATGTGCTTTAACCCAATACAGCCCTATCCTCCTATTTTGACTTCTTAATTTAGCGATATCTCGCCTAATTTCGAAAGCCAACGGTCGATATGCTGATTGATTTTTGACAAGTTCCAGTGCAGATCTTGAATCACTGTATATGTAAGTACTTTGGTAATTCTTTGCTTTTTGAATAGCTTGATGCATTGCGTACAGTTCAGCCTGAAAGACAGTGCAGAATGAATCTAATTTGAATTTCTTATTATCTATTTCTTGTTTATTTCTCCAAATAGAGATTGCAGCTCCAACCTTGCCCTCAATTTTACTTCCATCGGTGAATATTTGTATGCTGTTTGTATGTGGTTCCTCTAATTTTTCTGATGTTGTATTCTCTATTATTTCAAAGTCAATTTCTTCTTCGCAGGCTGGATGCATCATTTCTAAAAAACTTACTTTTCCTTCGATCTCTCTGTCTTTAAGTAGGTTAGCATCTGGTTTACCGCGTTTTGCTTCATACAAATATGCAGCTTCGCGTAACCTTAAATCTAAAGGTAGTAGTCCTGAGAGTATCAATGCTGCGTTTAGTGAGACCGTGCGATATGATTTACAAATTTTTTGTGCAAATCCCCTCTGCACTGCGTTTAGCTGGTTTTTGATTGCTATTTTGTGGGCAGCTGGTGCCCAAACGCTTGCGGCATACATTATAACTGGTTCAATAACTGATACGTAAATCGTTCTGATCACCTCGGGTTTAAGCCCCCATGAAATTTTTGCTGCACGAGCCAGTAATTTATAGATATTTATGGATTTTTGACAAATATAGGAAACATGACTATTAAATTTCAATTTTTTATCGATGATTAGGCCTAATATTTTTATCTCATCTACTAGTTTTATTTCTTTACCTCCCATGAACAATTGCGGGGTTTCATACTTCAATTTATTTGTTACTATCATACCATAAGTTTTTTGTGGGGCAAATTTTAATTTATTTTTTGATCCCCATTCATATATGTGTGAAAGAGTTTCATCTACATTTATTTTAATATCGCTTGTCACGTGACCTGAGAAGATCAGAACGATATCGTCGGCGAAGGCTTGGCAATACACTCCACGCTCTTCTAGTTCATTTAGCAACGGATCCAATAGCAAATTCCAAAATATGGGACCACCAATCGAGCCTTGAATGCACCCTTTTGTATTATTTTTTGTAAATTCTTCGTTCGCATATCTAACTGTAACTTTCCTATCTGTAAAATAACTATTTACTAATCTACGTAGATTCACAGGACACTTTATCTCCATCAGTCTATTTTTAATAGCAGGCCACCACGCGCTGTCGAAGGCCCCCTCTATGTCTAAGGATATTACAATACTTATTTCCTTATTTCTCAGATTGTTCTTGATGTGTAATATCAAGTCATAGAGGGAGTCCTCCGTACAGCGCTGTGGGACGAACCCATACTGACGGGGATTTAATTTTGGCAAAATGTAATATTTTAGTCTTCTCACCATCATCTTTTCTAGGATCTTACCCATGACAGAGAGGAGCCCTATCGGCCTATATGATTTCGCGAGAGAGTAATCCGTTTTTCCCGGTTTTCTAAGTGCTAACACAGTAGCTTCCTTCCATGGATCCGGAAAGTATGATAATTCTAAGCACTTGTTCAACAAGGCTAAGAATATCTGCTTATCAACGTTTATCGCCGCGGCACAGATGTCCGCTGTGAGGCCATCTGAACCTGGCGCCTTCCTTGGATGGAAGCTGCTGGTAGCAAATTGTAATTCGGTTGCTGTAAATGGAACATCCCAAATATCATCTGTAGTTTGAGTGCACATTCTGTTAGCTTTCATTCGTGTATGATATTGTTCTGGTATTTCGTTTTCCAAATTGTCATCGAGGAAAAATGTCTCCGCCATATGTTTCACTGATTCCTCTGCATCCAACGATTTACCTTCCCTAATTAACAGTATGTCCTCGTGTCTTTTTGATGTTTTCCTGATTACTCTATAGATCCCGTCCCATAGACTTTCCCTATCCTGCTTACCGCAAAACTTTTTCCAACTGTTGATTTGTGCTTGTGCTACTTCTTCTTCATATTTATTTTTTATCTCCAAATATTGTTCTACTACGTAGCGCCGACGGCGAGAGGCAGCATACGATATTCTTCTTTTCTTCACTGTCATTTCTTTTTTTAACTTATTAAGCTCTTCTGTCCACCACGGTATAGTAATTTTATTTCTAGTTTTAATTTTTGGGATATTCGAATCACTTGCTTCCTTAACACATTCTATATATGTATTAATTGTAGTTTTTAGTTTTTCCTTTGATTTTAGTTCTGTTATCTCTTCTTCACTAATATTTTTCATTTTAAGTGTTTCACATAGTTTATTTTTAAAATCTGTCCATTTCGCCCTTTTAGTATTATATATTCTAGTACTTTTAAAATTATTATTTTCCGTAGGTTTTAACAATGCTAGTTTAAATGTTATACAGTTGTGATCAGAACTTATAATAGCTTTATTTACTCTCCAATCCTTCACTTTACTTAATAAATTTTCGATACTGATTGTTACGTCTACTATACTCTGATAGATATTCCCACCCCTAATAGTATCAAATGTGGGTTCATTTCCTTCATTTAATATGTGCATACCTGTATCCTCTATCATTCCTGCCAATTCCTCTCCCCTATGATCTTCCCTAGCACTTCCCCACCACGTACTCCATGCATTGAAATCACCTCCTATTAGTACGTATTTTGTTTTTAGTTTTTCAATGATAGTTTTCAGTTGTGCGAGATAGGGTTCGATAGGTAAACTGTCCTCAAAATAGACCGATATGACTCCTAATTCCCACTTATTCGTTTTTAATTGAGCCACTGCTATATTCTCCGTTACGAGTGTTGGATCCTCTATGACATTAATATTTTGATCAAAAACTATTACTGCTGCCTTTACAGGTTTAGTTCTGTTTCTTGTACACTGAATTACTTTTGTCCCTTTTTCTTGTTTAAGTTCCCCTAATGCTCCAATATATGGTTCTTGTACCAAAGCGATATTAATTTTTCTTTGTTCTGCTTCTATCATTAACTCTTTAGTTGCTAATTTCTTCCTCTGGAGATTTGCTTGTATAATACGGTAGTCCTGTGGATTTCTTAATGATTCTTCATCACTGGTGGTCCCATAATTCGTTGTATCGATTTCAGCAATACGCTACACTCGATCTCGCGATCGCGTCCCATTTCCTTCGGATAGGGCAACTGTCGTCAAATGCATTGTGGTCTGCCCTTTCGCTTTTTGCGTGCAAACAATTGCGACATGTCGGTGGTTCTTTTACTGCCCATAATGGACAGTCGTCCTTAACATGGGGTCCGGCACAATGGCTGCATAAATCCTGTGTCTCTTTACAGAATTTCTTTCCGTGACCGTACCCCAGACACCGCGTACACTGTACCAACGGTGATTGGTCTCTTACTATTACACGTTGCAAGTCAATGTGGACTTTTTCCACTGTTGTCAGTCTCTGCCACACTTTTGGGGATACTTGAATTACAACATGATTAATATGCGGATTCCTAGCTTTTTTTCCGATATTTAATTGCTGCTCTGTATTGATCATCTGGTATATCGGATAGGAGTTGCTTATTCTGGTTTTTCAGAGCTGCTAGAATATCTTCGTCTTTATTTAAAGATAGAACATCTCTCATAATTATCAGAGGGTCTTTATTCTCGACTTCTTGTACTAGCAATTTTGAGGATGCTCTTTTGATTCTTTCCGCAATTTTTTGAACTTCGTCATGTGTCTAGCATCCCACTATTACCTTTTGATCCCTGGCCTTCCGTAGTTTATCCACTCTCAACCCAGTGATTTTAGCGTCAATTGCTGTTCTAATTTTATTTATTATATCTCCGCTAGTGTCTTGTTCTTCTTCAGACGATACCAGAACTGAGTGCATTGGAGCCATCATTTTACTGTTTATTTTGGCCTTAGGTCGACCAGCTATGCTGGCATATGTGGGTTCATTTGTTTCGCTTATAACCAAAGACTCTCGAAGTCCACCCATTTGGTCTTTTAGGGATGATAATTCTTCTTTTATTTCCATCAGTTCCCTTCTGGTATCCTCCGATTTGCCCATAAAAGTATGTTTATCCAATAAGGTGTCATTGCCCATCGTGTGCTTCAATGAGTCCGTTAGGGTTCTCATATCACTCACTGTTTCGGTGAGAGCAGACTGAATATCTCTTATACTACCCTGATCCATTAGTGCTCTAAGGCTCTCTACATACTGTTTTTCTTGCCTAAGTAGATCGTCTTTAAGTTGTATACGAGCTTTCTCCAATTGTAGGAGTAGAGTCTGCCTTTCTTCGTTTAACTGTAATACGATTCCAAAAAGTTCAGAAAGGTTATTTACCACCGTCTCTTTTATGGAAGTCTTTAAGTTTCCAGACTGCTCTAGCTGCAACTTAGCGTCCTGATATAATCTATTGGCCTTAGACGTCGCTGTTACAGCTATTTCTAGTACATCGGATTTCCGAGTGTGTATTTCTTTTGGTTTCTCTTTGGTTGCAATATTCTGTGAAGTGGGACGTTTCCGCTGCTCTTCGGACCTATTTACGTTACCTGGCACTGAACTCATTTTAATTTTTTTGTAAATAAGAGACTTTTGTAAATTTATATATATGAATCTACCTTAGTAATGAAAACAGGGTGGGTGGGAGGACGAAATTTTGCTAATTTCTACGTTTATTGTTGCAGATTTTGGTTGATACGGCGGTTGTGGAGTAAGGTGGACCTGATAGGAGCAAAAACGGAAGAGATTTGTAAAATTTTAATATAGACGAAAAATTTTGATATATTACGTTTCTCAGAAACAATAATTTTTAATTTAAATTAGAAATATCGCCCGAAATGGCTTGAAAATACAGTAAACTAATAAGACTAAACTAATTAAGTATTTCAGGGCAGCCAGGGAATTTTTACAATGTTTTTATGCAAAGTTATAAGGTGTAATTGTATGAAAATTTGTTCTGACCACTATACCTCGGTATCTAACTTTCTTAAAATTTTGCTAATTTCTACGTTTATTGTTGCAGATTTTGGCTGATACGGCGGTTGTGGAGTAAGGTGGGCCTGATAGGAGCAAAAACGGAAGAGATTTGTAAAATTTTAATATAGACGAAAAATTTTGATATATTACGTTTCTCAGAAACAATAATTTTTAATTTAAATTAGAAATATCGCCCGAAATGGCTTGAAAACACAGTAAACTAATAAGACTAAACTAATTAAATATTTCAGGGCAGCCAGGGAATTTTTACAATGTTTTTATGCAAAGTTATAAGGTGTGGTTAGGTTAGGTTAGGTTAGGTTAGGTTAGGTTAGGTTAGGTTAGGTTAGGTTAGGTTAGGTTAGGTTAGGTTTTTTTTTTTTTTTTTTTTTTTTTTTTTTTATTCGTTTATACTACCACTATTCTGCGGTA